TTTTTTAAGGACACTTTTATAGAGTAATTTAACGAGGTTTTGTGGGATTTCTGATATGAGGGTTTCCATTTCAGGATTTTGCGCCCCTGGTTGTCAAGCATATGCAGACTCTGGAACCTCTTTGTTGGCGGGTCCAACGGTAACGTGTGAAAAAATTATATGCTTCTATATTATTTCGGGTGGGTATCTTATATATGTATTTTGTGCTACCTATCATATATTAAAGTCACTATAGTGATCTTAGTTTCCCTTTGGGATTGGATCGAAGGTATCTGGAATTGAATTTCATTTTAATCTCATGTTTGGTCTGAAAGATTTCTCGGATTTGAAATCTCATAAATATAGGATTTTGAAATCCCGTTGGGATGATTGGTTTTTCATGGGATTTTGAAATTCCGTAGGATTGCGTCTTACTCAAAACGTCAAAGTCCATTCAATTTGTAAAAATGGTATTTTATTCCTAATCGACACAATTAACTTTTCCCTGAATCAAACGTTGACTACCCCCACGGCATACCAGTACATATCAATCAGTCAAGGCCACCACTTATGGATTGCATTCCAAAGTCCACATATACAATTTCAGGGTCAAGTGACTTCTACGATTCTGTTACAGAAGTCTAACGTTCCGTAAAAATCACTTTTTTAGGCTATTGTTACTCAAATCAATCATGCAATTGGCGCTAACGGGGTCATGAACCAGCAATGCAAGACAGTGGTTAGTCGTTATGGAAGGGATATAATTGAGATGCTCCGATCTAAGGTACCCGTTATCCTTCACATCCCTGTCTTAGAGCATTTCCAGCAAATTCTTTAAAATTGAGAAAATGGAGATTTTAGGCATATTTTGTGTCTATTTATGTCTGTTCCAAAATAAGTGTCCACTTTCAAAAGCAAATTACCAAATTCTCGAATTTACCCTTAATTAATGCACAATTATATAAGAGTTGCGAAGAGAAAAACAATTAAATAAGGGTAAAGATGTCATTTGGTTAACAAAAACTGTAATAATAAAGCATGTCTAGAATTGTGTGTTATTTCAATTGGGGACACTTTTGTTTTAGACGGAGAGAATATTGTTCAATATTTCTAGAAACATCTGACAATTTAATTGTTTTTGTTATGATGTCCTGTAGATACAACCTGATAAAATCTGTTCGCACATGAAGTTATGCACTTTTGA